TAGGGCAACCTGCTAAGCTCGTAACCTCTAGTACTAAAGCCGAGCTTATAGCCCTTTCTGCTACTACTAGGTAGTATATCGTAATAAGACGTTTAATATAAGACCTTGCTTTAGCCTTTAAAGATAAACCACTAGCGATATACTACGATAATAACTAAATAAGGATTTTGCTAGAAGCACCGCGCCCTTAGGTTACCTCTAGATTAAAGAATCCAGATATCCACGCACTTTGTATCCGTTAGACCGTTTCATAGAAGAAGGTCCTAATCGAATACATCTCCACGAATAAGATAGTTAGCGATAGGTCAACTAAAGTACTACTACCGTAAAAATATAAGGTATTTATATATCTATTAGAAATACAGGTCCTAAGCTAGGAGGATATAAGTAATTAACGAGGGATATAGTACTCTATCGTTATCTTAAATCGTTAATTTAAATATTAATCTAAGTGTTTTTAGTGCCCCTCAACTATTATTTTAGGTACCTGTTTTTACACGTTTTGACGTTTGAGGTATGAAAAGAGCGCGCTTTTTAATAAGCCGTTATACCATTAGATTAATATCTAGGCTCTATTTTACCCTAGATTGACGGCTTTAAATTAAGCAGAACAGTCAGAATTAATCCTGCAGTTTTAGGGGGGTATATTAAATATCTATAGCCACCTTATCGAGGAATAATATACTATATTATATTAGACGTGTGGAGTACCTTAATCCTATATATCCACACTTATTTCCCCTGGTTTGTCCTATTAGTTAGACATTCCCGTAGAGTACCTTTTACTCTGCTTTAATACACATACATATCTTTTGCGTACCTTATTTATTCGCTAACAGTTATTATTATTACGAGGTAAACCTAGAGCGATAGGAAGGTGGTGGTAGTAAGCTGGGTGCTGTGATTTGATTGGTTATAAAAATGTGACCATGACCGAACTATAGTCGGAATAACCAAGTGGTACAGTCGGAATAACGGCTCTCCTATGCTAAATATGCATACACCCATCCCTAGAACCAACTCGTCCAGACCGTCACCTACCAACTTAACTCGCCTAGGCAATCCTCTCTGCACCCAGGCATACCAACGTCTCGTGACGAAGCGATACTTCTCCTTCGAAATGCGGGCTTATTGGTTTGATAACCTACCCGTGAGACTCCCTGTTCAAGATGCTCCGTTCATTGGCCTTATAATTCTCGATGTCGACATGACTGATTGTATCCAACAGGGCGACCAGCGCATGCCTCACGACTCTGGCAGAGCTATCGACACCAAACGGTTGGAGCAGCTCGGCGTGATATACTACAACATCCCCGACACAACCAGAGTTGATCAGCTGGCCTCTGAGCGTGGCTACAAGAACAGAGATGAGATCGTCATATCACCAGAGAGCATGGCTGAAAAGTACGAAGAGAAGATCAAAATGTTCTTTCGTGAACATCTCCACGAAGATGAGGAAATACGGTATATTCGGGACGGTCGAGGGTACTTTGATGTTCGCAGCCGCGACGACGAATGGGTCCGGATCCAGGTTGACAAGGTGAGATGGGGGGTGTCACTGGCCCGTTTGCTATCCTGTGCCGCTCACGTAAAGAGACTAACTCTGATTCAGAATGACCTCCTTATTTTACCCGCGGGCATCTATCATCGCTTTACCACCGACAACTCCAATGTAAGTATTTACACACTGCGGCCTTTCCTTACCTCGATACAGGCTGATTCCCCTCTTAGTATATTAAAGCCATGAGATTGTTTAAAGACGAGCCCAAGTGGACACCTCTGAATCGATCAGCCGCGCTGGATATTAACTCATATAGACAGCTCTATATTCAGCAGTATCTAAGTGATAAAGCAGCTAAAGTAAGTAGCAATATATAGTAGTTATATCTTATAAATAATATTCCTTGTTCTATTTTCCTCGGTATACTAGTAGATATATAATAAAATAAGAGAGCCGTTATTCCGACTATAGTAACCGTTATTCCGACTATAGTTCTATTATAGACCTATAAATTTCCTTTTTCGGAATCCTATCTTCTATATATAACTATAACGTAGATATAGTTATAACGACCGTAAATAACTATAACGTTATTTTTAAGCTTTTTACATAGGAACTAGTTTAATCCTTTTAGTTAATTAAAGGAAGTCGTAGGTATAATCTTAAGGACTCGGATTAGGACCTGTTATTCTATTTTATAGCTAATTACCACTATATTATAGAATCCCGCTTTCTATCTATCTACTAGTTCTATATCCTAGTAACTACTACTACTCTTATAATTAACGGATAAGCTCGTCTATTCGATTAAAGCTATTCGTAATAGTCGTAACGCTCGTAATAATAGTTCCACGGCCTCGACCTCTACGCCCACGCCCACGCCCACGCCCACGCCTATAGGTATCGCGACCGCCTTACTATTATTATTATTATTATTATTATTATTATTATTATTATTATTATTATTATTATTATTATTATTATTATTATTATTATTATTATTATTATTATTAAGCTGGGTGCTGCGATTTGATTGGTTATGAAAGTGGGTCCATAACCGAACTATAGTCGGAATAACCAAGTAGTATAGTCGGAATAACGGCTCTTTAAAATAATAAAGGTATTAAGGTAAGCTTCGAAACTACTCGCTACGCCTCTAATTGGGCCTACCTAGGTCCCGTAGTAGTATTATTATGGTGCTCGGCGTAGTATCTATCTCCGTATAGATTTAGGCTATTTATAAGTAGTGGTTTAATCTGATAATAGTCGGGTTAGGGCCGCTAAAGTTATAGCAGAGCCCCTGCGTCGCCTATATAAGGTTAATAGTACTAGCACGCCGGCCAGGGCAGTGCTACGTAGTAGTCCTAGGGGGGGTTACTAGGTCTAGGTTTTACCGGGTTATAAGGGTAAGTAGGGTATCGGCCCGGGGGTAATAACGCGGTGGCTATAACTATAAGGGGTAGTGTAGGTTAAAGTCCCCTATAAGGATATAGCGGCCCCGCGGTAATACTATATCGAATATATCTTATAGGAGTATATTCTAGGGAATCCTAGCTAACTAGTAGTTCTTTAAGTAGATTAACTAGATTATAAGGGCGTTATCCCTCGTCCTAAATATAACCGCGTAGGTATTATAGTAGGCCTGCTATATCTACGTGTATAGCGGGTATCTTTTATATATATAGGAGGGCGCGGCCTCCTACCTATATTAGCTCGTATACCCTTTAGGATAGGTAGGTAGGGCTTTTTATAAAAGGGTTAAGGCCGGGTTCCTAGATTACTATTATATCGTACTTAGCGCGGCACCGAAATAGGAGCTCCCGCTACGCCTAACTCCTCCTTATATTCCACGAAAGGATATAGATTCTTATTAATTAATAGGGGGGGGGTTAAGATAACGTGCCTAGTATAACCGGGGCCTAGTCCTGGCTTTATAGCTCTTACTACGGTGCCTTACTAGCCCCGCGGGGAACTATATAGGCGCTTATTAAGCCCGGTATCGGGGAGTCCTCCTATTCTTTAGTACTTTTCGGGGAGCGTCCCTAGCCTTTACGGAGGGGCCGGTCTTAGTCCTAGGCGATAATAATCGGGGGGAAGATCTACGGTTACCGTGGGTATACCGCTTTAGTCTAGCGGGTAATATTAAAGTCTTTAGCTTAGTACTTATACGCTTTACGAGTCTTCTCGGCCTTTTTCCTTAGTAGTCGGTATAAGTCGTTAAAGGTATTATAGTCTCCGGTATAGGCGGTATAATAGCAGGAGCGGCTAAGCGCTATAGTATTATAGTATTCTAGTCCTTATAGGTACGCCGATTCGGGCTTAGTATAGTAGCGGTATACCCTCTCTACTATAAGGTAGCTATTAGCCTTATAGCTAAAGTATAGATACTTATAATACCTTAGGGGGCTAAGGTTAGGATTATATAATTCGTAGATATAGCTACCCCTTTTAAAGAGGAGGGTATTCCGGATAAGGCTTACTACCCTTTCCGGTAAAGCTAATTCGATAAGGAGGAGCGCTACCCTATTAGTACCGTGGTAGGGTACTCGTTATTATACTTAGAGGATTTTAGCCTTAGGGTTTATATTTTATAGGGATACTAATAGGTCCTCCTCGGATAAAGCCTTAAGGACCTCTTAGGGGATAGCCTTAATAAGCGTAGGGTAGGTTTATATAGCTAGGGTAACTCCTTTACTAAAGGCTTTTTTAACCTATTATTCCTTATAGTTAGTCTACTACTATACCCCTTCGGTAAAGGTAAAGTAGATATCTCTATTAGGTAGCTTCTATACCGCTATAGTATCGTGTTAGGTAATTATAGCGTTTATAGCTTAAATAATTTCCCTTAGGGTCCTAGCTCTAAGGGGCTAGTCTTCGGGGAGGGTTCCTTAGAGGACTATTAGTTCCCGGTAATACTTAGCGGGGATTACTTTAGGAGGGGCGGGGTCCTATAGCGGTGCCGCTACGGGTACTCGGGCTATAATATTAGCCTAGGTTTCTCTTATACCGCTTATTCCTTTACGGAGTTCCTTACGGATAATATAGCGGACGAATATATATAAGTGTATTAGCGGTAACGTGCCGGTATCGTTACGGGTACTACGTATTATAATTAGTTCCTCTACTAGCTTTATAACCTAATTAATCGTGTTCCTATTAGCTAAGAGGGCCTAAATTTCTGCCTTAATCTTAGCTACTCTTAGTTCCGGGGGGCGCGGTATTCCCCTTTCGGTCGTATATCGGTTCCGCGCTAGATCCTGCCTCGGGAGGGGGGGGAGCGCTTCTATTATAAAAAGTGGGTCCGTTACGAATTCTGTATAGTCGAGGTTAGGAGGACGCTATCCTATAACTCTTCCCGCTATACCGTAGCGCCGGTATTATAGTACTGCTATAATAGTATCCCGGGAGGGAGGCAGTAGTTATAATCTCTGTCCCGGTGGTTTTATCGATTTTACTCTTATTACGCGCCCGTGGTTAATAGGCATATCCTACGAGTTTAAATATATAATGGCTTATTAAAAGTTATTCACGTATTAAGGCCGAAAATATAGTTTATTCGAATTAAGGAAGGAAAGGAGGAAAGGAAAAAAGTCTACGCGGTATATAGACGGCTAAGTATATATAAGATCGCACGGGCCTCGCTAGGAGGTCCGTGCTTCTTAGTCCCGGCCACTGCCAGGGACTATTCTGTGGGCCATAGCCTATAATAACTATATAGCTAAGTTTTTTTTTAGATTCATTGCGCGTATACAGTCCTAAAGCTATAGCGCGGCGCCTATCGCCCTAAAGGCAAAAGACCATTAGAAGCTAGGTATAGTAAAATAAAGCGTAGTAATAAACAAAGGAAATCCTCCGTTATAATCTGCCTAATAAACCTAATAGGTAAAAAACCAAAGCAAAATAACTAGACTGCAGGAATTATAGTTTACGCCCTGTACCACTCCGCCGAGGCTATTTTAGTAGCTAAAAGATAGGCCTATAAGGCCGGTATTCCTCTTTTAACACCGAATAATAGCGGCAGATAGCAGTAGGCCTGCTAGGGCTTCCCGCAGGGCTCTTCGTTCGTTTTTATAAAAAGGGCAGGAGAGAATAAGGTGTGCTGTATCCTATATAAGGGAGCTGGGACAGGAATAGCGGTTGTCAGCGTAGTTTTAGGTCCTTTTTTAGTGGGTTCTTAGGTAATCGAAGCCGGTTTTTAACTACGTAAAACCCGATTTTACCCACTTAGGGCCTTATATTAGTAGTGGTTTTCGGGAGAAACGGAGGTTATCGCGGACTAGGCGCCTATATAGGCGGCCTAATCGAACCGATATACCTCTTTTCTCCTCCTCCTCTTCGTGATTCTACAGGGTTTTCTAGTCTTAAATAAGGGCTTTCTTTATTTACCCGGCGTTTTAGGTGGCTAAGGGTAACTAAGCTAACGGATTTAGTACCTTTTTCGGGGTTTAACGCCCCTTTAGCCACTTTATCCGCTAGTTCATTACCCTTTATCCCTACGTGTGAGGGGCACTACTAGATAGAAACCGAAGTGCCTAGCTATTTAAGGCGTAAGATAAGGGCTTTAGCTTTTATAGCTTACTGCAAAGTGCGCTAAAGCTTCTAAATAGCCGTATATGAATCGGTAAAAATATAGCACTCTAGGAGCCTAGGCGTCTGCTTAAGGGCAGCGTATAGGGCCTAAAGAATAGCGTATAATTCAGTGTCCGCGACTTCGGCAGAGGCCCTTAGGTTAAAGCCTATAGCTTTATAGGGCCTTCCAGTATTAGTATACTATATTATAGCGGCTATAGTCTGCGAAGGCCCTATAAGGGGCCTAGTAGGGTGGCCTAGAGAGCCGTCAGTATAGAAAATAGTAGCCTATTCCCCTAGGCCTTATTGTATTTTAGCGAGGGCTTCGAGGTAGGTTATTGTCTAATCGGGGGTATCGGGGCCAGGGCTAGGGTCGGTATCTGTTTTAGGCCGGTCTTTAAGGGGGAAAAAGGGCCTTAGGTCCGTTATAGGTTCCGAAGCCTAGGGGGCCTCCTACCTAGCCGACGGACCCTTGATATCCTCAGACTGACCTACTAAAGCCGCTATTTCTAGGCCTAGCCTATATAGCTATATAGTAGGAAGAAGGTTCTGTAGCCGCTTAAGGCCTTTGTTGTTTATGTTCGCTAGGAGCTGGCGTTTAACGGGGTGGTTTAGTAGGAATTTTAAGGTCCTAAAGGCGTAAAGCCTATGAGACCTAGTTAACCGAACCGCCGCTGGGGACACTGCTGCTTCGAGTTCTAGAGGCCGTAAAGGGGCTCCCCTAAAAGCACCTAGGGCCCTAACTAGGGCCCCGTACTATAATCGTTATTGGCGGTCTATAAGATGTTTTCTCGGTGACTTTGAGTCCTACTAGAGCTGCGAGCCGGAGTTAGGTAAAGAGGTAATATAGGCTATATATAGCTACCTTAGGGCCTTAAAAGAAAGGCC